TGGAAGGAGCAAAATTGATGTGTAATTGTGTTAAATAATGTTTGACAGAAAAAAAATCGGGAATAATAATTATCGTAATTTCGCCGCCGGCGGGGCAAAAAACACGCGGACGTACGTGGAGCTCGGCTCGACGAGTATATTCGGCGGACACACGCGGATTTCGAATAAAATAAACGGCGGGAGTGGGCGGGGGCGCGCTTTTTCTCCGTCCATATCGTATATGAAATTATTGCAAATCGATGAAAACGTTTGCTCGCTTCTCATCGGGATTGCGTCCAGTTACAAGGAAGCACGTAGTGTAAGCGCGCACGAGAGAGAGAGAGAGAGAGAAAGAGAGCGCACTGCAACGCGAGTTTCTGCCCGCCCCCGCCACATACAAACGGAACAATATTTCTCCGCGAGAGCACGCGCCGCTTTTCAATCTTCCGCCGCGTTTCTCCCGCGACTCTCGCGCTGAACGAGACCTAATCGGCAAGTCCAGTTCGACGCTCGATCGGACGGAAGAAACGCGGGACTCTTCATCTCTCTTTCCCCCTTTCAACCTCGGTTGGTCGCGACCGCTAAAACGCGACGGTCTGCTGCCACCACTCTTTTCGCCGCTCTTTTCATCATTCCCATACTCCGTAAATACGGGGAAGATGGAACCGTCGTCTCGGCCGTAGACGGTTATCCGCAACGGTGGTTAAAGAGAGCGAGGAAGAAAGTCAGATTTTTAGAGACCGGCCGGATGCACAGCCGCAGGGTAACTTGGCAAAGCAACTTTTGGAACCTTCTTCCTATCGTGAAAAACGTTACCGGAGTCGTGGGCGACGGTAGCAGCGAGAGAGCAGGGTGGCGGCTGCGGAGGCACGCGGGGGTGGTCGGGCGAGTCGGTAAAAGAGGGAGGGGAAAGATTTAGAAGGTGGTAGGGAAAGGGGGAACCGCGGAGTCGGAATCAAAGGAGTCCAAAGAGCTTTTCCAGGCTTCTCTCCCTCGCCCGGCTAGATTGAACTTCTTTTCCGCTCAGGAGTTTTCCTATTACTCCAAATTTTCAAGCCGCGCGGCAAGGCAGCCGCGCGCGTCCGCGGTCGCGACGGTTTACATGCACATAATGTACCGACCGTTTCGGTTTTCTACGTGCGTATGTATATGTACGTGCAACCCCTGATGGCTGCCGGGTTGGGAGCCGCCCCGCCGCCGCGTGGGCCTCGACTACGTTAATTAATATCGTGCTAACTCGCGTACATGTGTGGTTTGCATGTGCGCGTGTGTGAAGTTTTCGGGGTGCTTTTTTTATCGACGCGAACCCGGTGAAACGTGTTTTTTTTTTTTTCTCGAAAAGAGCGAGGTACTTTTTTGCCGGTTTATGAATAAATTAATGTCGTTGTCGAAGAGGCGGATAGAAGCACACGCTAATCGCTTTGTCAACTCTTTCGGACTGGGTGAATTCGAATGTTTCGAATGACGGATGAAGTTCCGCGAGATAACGTCTCGACACACTTCCTCGGATGTCAGATTGCAAAAGACGTTTCTTTGAAAATTGGAGGAAAACCGAGCGAGAGCATCGGGAAAACTACGCGAACTGAATTAACGAGCGACGTTCCGTTTCAATTTTAGACGCGCGATTCTAATAGAAATCGTTAAAACATCCCGTAATGTTAAAGAGAAAGCGTCTCTCTTACGAGCAAACGGCATCCTCGGGGCTTAAGGATTCCGTGCCGTGAGGCAGCATAACGACGCGTTAAAGGCGTCTCATTAGTACCTCCACTTTAAAGCAAGATTCCCCCAGCTCCGCGCATTCTCTCTCTATCCCTCCCTTCCTCTCTCTCTCTCACCCTTGACTGGGCCGCCTAAGTAAAAATCAATAATTCCTTTATCGTACAAATTAACGTTAAGCATATTCCACCCTCGTACACGAGGCCTACTGCCGACGTTACACCGTTTCCTGCCGCTCTGTCCTGCATAATATCACGGAATCGCGCCGACACCGCGCCTGCTTCTTTCGTTTCGTGCGCGCCTCACCGTCGCGCTCTTCCTCCCGAAATTCCACCGAGGACTCGCCGATAACTCGCACGGCGGCGGTATCGATGGAACCGTCCGGTCTCGCGAACGTTCACTGAAGTAACGATAATCGCGCCGGATTACGTATCATAAATCACGTATCGTCTCCCTTAAATTGATATTTGTACGAAATGTTTTACGACAGAGCCCGATCTAATATATGCTCGTCGTTATTAACAATGATTTGTGCCCGCGAACCAATAGGCAGCTTATCGATTCTTCGCGCGAAGTGTCGGGGAAGAATAAATATTTGCCACTCTCGTCGGAAATTATTTATGACTGGATTCGCGCGCGCACGATAAAAGCAGGAGGAGGATTATGTGCAAGGCGGCGCTACGACGTAGTTGGGAGGATATATCGAGAAATTATCCAAGGTATTACTAACTCGAAACTATCGGAAACTAGCTGTAAGCGGAGTTATTAGATAACCATAAAATGTGCGTTACTGTCAATTCATTATTATTTTCAATTTGTGAGCAAGTAACACATAATGAATCAATTATTTCGACTTAAAATTTAGAGTGGACTTTCTGGAACGTGTAAAAAATGTTAAAATTCACATTTTACTTTTCATTGTGCACAACAATCGGAGAAAATCCATATTCGCAAATTTCCGACAAGAGTAACAAATATTTGTTCTTTTTCAAAAAATGAAGTGTAAGAATCACATTGAAACCATGACATTTTTTCCACAATGACGTTAAAATGTCTTCGTTAATTCTTCCGTACCTTCTCAAGTTACTTTCTCCGACTTTGCGTGTCCTAGCACCTAGAAACCTGCGAATATCCGGAGCCGAATATGCGAATTTGACCGCGGCACTCGAACGCGTATTCGCGAAAATGCGACACACAGTGCGTTCATACATCCTGCAGTTCTTCGTTATTATTCAGTTGAACGCGACGTAACGTATAAACATCCGCTGTAACAACACTACAATGTTTGCAACGCTACAACGTTCGCAATGCGGAGCGCGATTACTCCGGCGCACGCGGAATCGAGTCCGGCGAGTAATTTCGCGCGACGCGTTGCACCGACGAGCATTCATAATTCGCCGGGCGCACGACATGCGCATACAAACACGACACCGCTATTATTATCGTCTCACGTGACCGCGTGTGCAGTCGATAACTACTTAAATGAATTTGTTTGCGTCGGATGTAATCCGTCGATGCTAGCCGAGAACACCGGATTTCTTTAAGTCAACCGCCGGCAATTGCCATGTTTTAACAGTAAATATCACTCGTGTGCTCATAAAGTTTACAAAGAAATATTTTTTGATAATAACGATATACAATTATGTAATATTACAGGAGCTATACAGGGTGTCCTAAGATCAACGTACGCAATAAAAGTTTGTGTTAAAAACAGTCAAGAACTACTGATGTCTCGACATTTTCGTACGTGAACTTTCATCTTGGAATGCCTCAAACAATCTGTCACGTTAAGGCCATTCATCTATTTTGGACACCTTACATAAAACTAGATATACGGATATTTGTGTGCAAGAAAGGCGTTCGTCTCTTTAGACTTTATCTAAGCAAGCTTTCGAAATCTGCTGGCAACGGTCGGAAACTTTTCTGAAATAAGTGCAGCCGTCGGAGTGTTAATTTATATCGTGCCTCGTTTACTTTCTCCTAGAAGAAGGAGGAGGGGAAAGGTCGCCGGTTAGAACACGTGGAAATACCCACCCACTCGTCGCAGCTTGACGAATAACGAGCGATGCACGGCGATAAGGCTTCGACTGTCGTCGGCCGACCGACCGGCCGTCTATCGAGGCTCCTTATCGAACGACATTACTAGTCCTAGTTGTGTGGAGAAATAAATAAGCCGCTTTATTACGTAACGTGTTCCCATCGTGTACTTGTATGCACGTGAAATTAAGGTAACGAAGTCGCGGTGCCACGCGGCTATACAGGGCCGAATCGCAACGCCGCAAAGGCATGCCACCGCTGCGTTCGGCTTCGTCGGCTCTGAGGAAAGTGACGATACCTCACGCAATCGTGGATTCTGTTACTTTCAACGGATAATGATGGTGGTAATTTGAAGAATTACTCGATGATTCCGTTAGTGATTACTTAATGATCGCTTTCTTAATGACCGGTTTAATTTGAGGCATTACGTAATGATGAATGACACTAATCACGATCGTTGCTGGTAATTTGAGGAAATATGAAATTCAGATGATTATTGCGTTTAAAAGAGCATATGTGCATTAGTTCATAGTGTAACTATAATTTATTAGACATATCTTAAAAATATAATTCTTGATATTGAGTAAATAAATAAGTAAATGATAATTAAATATAGAGAGTTTAAGATAAATAATTAATAATAGAAAATATATATAGTAAGAATTAAATAGATTTCATCTGATTATACGGGGAAAATTTTATAATAAAAATTACTTATAGAATTTTGTGAGTGAAAAACATATCGATATTCTGCCTTAATTTATTATCCTTCCGTCCCTCATACATGCTATTTCACAATTACACTCTAGAAACGGTAGTCCGCTGTTAAAAAAATTTGCTATATTCCTTCGCGAGATAAATACCACTGACAGTTTGTTCCCGGATTATTAGAAAACATGGCGAAATTGAAAAGAATTTATACGCAGGAAAACTATGTTGTGCTCATATATTCTCATGTACGTAAATTCATGCGTATCGAACGAAGGTACGAAGGTGTAACGAGAACACAAGTTGCTGCACTGACAGAAATTGGAATTATTTTTGGCCTCGAACATACCCTTTCTTGGTTTCAACTACAAAAACGGTAGCAGCAACACGCATGTAAGGTTATTGTCACCGACACGCCAGTAATAATTATAAACAATAATATAATAAATCAGTAATAACAAATAACTATAATTTCTGTCAGATGGGTGCACGTCCTCGCGAAAACGTTGAGAAAAATGTCACGGCTAATATTAACCTCGCGCTTATCTTTTCTGTTTCAGGTAGGTGGACCAAACGAAACTCGAGCGATCGCATCATCGCGGGTCCTCGATGGGAAACACGAAAACGGGGCGGCGTCACGTGTATCCGCGACCTTGACTTGCCTGCCGCGGCATCGGAACGCTAAGAGGTTTACCTCGGTAAACCCTGGTATCTCGGGATACCACTCAGGGTCTCGGTCGAGGGATTAAGACGGGGTTGTTGAGCAGCAGGACGACATGGCGGACGGGGCTGTGATGCTGACGGAGACAGAGACGAAGAAGAGAAAGAATAAAGAGAGAGAGAGAGAAGACGCGGGGCGAGAATGAGAAAGGGAAAGGAGACTGTAACCATACGCCCGTATAATTGATTGAGTCTAATGAGTTAAAGCGGATATGCCACGATCGCTCGATGGCAAAAATTAAAGAGTTCCGTCTGGGTCATGAAGGCGACAGAGCGGGGCCACGCGGAACCGAGAAAGTATGGCAACTTGGCCACCTCCCTCTCTCTCTCTTTCGCCCCCTCCGTCTGCGTCCTCTCGCCTCGCTCTCCGCTTCTTCTTCCGGCATCTCATTCGGCGTCCACGTCGACCGTCGGCGCGCGGGAAGCGCTGATTGTAAATTAGTTAAAGGAGATGCTTCATTAGGCGACGGACCGCCTCTCGCGCCTTCTCGAGGGCCGCGCGCGTTTAGCTGTTTTTAAAGGGGCTCGCGGCATAATTACCGGCGCTCCTCCGCACGAGCAATTACGTAACTCCGTAAGAGACGAGAGATGAAACGAGCTGCGTTTTATTATCGGCGGAACGACGACGACGAGGAGTTTTTTCAGTCACGCGATCACCGGTTTCCACGTTCCGCTGATTTTTATTCCCGGCGAGGATGAGGTCACGGCCGAGAGACGGGATATGAATAATACGAGCGGGATACGCGATAACGAGAATCGTGCATGCGCGTATACTCGATAATTATTACAAGATATATTTATAGATCTGCTATCTTCATCGCGCGTTCGCGATGTTCTTTTGACCCAGTGTCACTTTTTTATCGTGTCTTATGTAACGACACATTCAATACACAATGTACATCTGTTACGAACCTCCCTGACTTCTTCACACATATATTCAACATTCAACGTCTACAAGCAAATGTAAGAGATACTCGGGCGCGTTCATCTTACGCTCGGAGATCCTCGATGAGAATTATATTCATCAATTGCTCGAACGGAAAGATATCAGCAGTACCCATAAGTAACCAAATATTTCCAAATCAAACGTATTTAAAAATTTACAGGTGATATTTATATTTTTTTTTTACACTTAGACTGCCGCGTTATCTATATATCAGTGACAGTTTTACATCAATTGAGATAGAAATAATCTTATGAACTATTTATAGACATTAAATGAAAACAATAAAATATAATTTGTACGCAATATACGTTGCACTTTCAGTAGATTTTATGTTTGAAATTAACTGGACAGTCTAAGTGTTAATCAACGACAACAAGTTGAATATCTTTACTCACCCAATAGCACGTTAAAAAAATACATAATCCGCGAACTGCACAGCTCAAGTAGAAATTGATAAGAGTAAATTTGATAAATAATTGACCACTTATGGATGTATGCCCTGATAATCGTCTCAAATATCCCAAAATATTCCGTCGTTAACTGACTCAACGTTAAACAACGCTAACTTAATCAGTTGTATCGAACGGGAGGAGAGATTCGGGAGAGCGTGGAATCCGCTCCGAAGTTTACCCCCCCCTCCGTCCCCCATCGTCCCGTGTACGCGATATTACTTTTCGGCAGGCTCGCGGGTTTCGCGCGCCAGCTCGTTCGCTCGCACGTCTTTTCAATTTGCAGAGAGATGAAAAAGGTGGCGGCTAGTCGAGATAGGTGGATAGCGAGACAGTCGTGGGCGCGAGGGAGGACTGACGCGCGGCGCAGCGTACGGCGGAGGCATCGTCGCGGCTGGCAAAAGCGCGGTAGTGTCTTCCGCATCCCCTAGGGAAATTATTGACAGTCAGCGAGGAAATGACGTCGTAAATACCACGCCGCCAAGGCGAAGCCGCCGCCGCCGCCCGCCCCGCTCGCTTTTCTGCTCCTCCATTTCTTTTTCCTCTCTTTCCTTCTCCTCATCGTCCGCGCGTCTTCTTACGCTTCTTCCTTCCTTCCGTGCACACGTGCGACGCTAATCCTAGCAGACGTCGTTCTCAGCGTGCTCGCGCGCTGGAAAAGGACGCCCGCACACGTGTGCACACAGCCGCACATAATACGCATAATACCTTGATACGCAGTATAATGAGAGGCTACTGATATTTTCCAGCCGTATTACTTTTGTTTCTGCACATTTAACCTCCGGAGTTGATCGCGTATCTAAATGCAACACGAGTGTGGTCGCGCAGGTGTCCTTCATTTTCGAAAAACTGAAACCGATTTTCGATAAATTCGTTTTAGAAAGAAATTATTTATTTATTATAATGTTTATTATTATGTATAATAATATTTACTTTTAGATTTTATCACACTGACTCCTGTGTTGCAAGAATTGTAAACGTTTAGTTCGAGATATGTTACTGCATGCTGTTTGCGAAATGTATGCTCTTCAAAATTTGGCTGCTCGCGCGGTTGGCAATGTGTTAACATAAAGCTATCATCGTGATAATTTACTGTTTCGATCACGGACAGTACAAATTTCTTAAAAACCGCTTTTAAACATTTGTACCCCCATAAATTTGTATCCTCATAAATTTAATATTTATTAAGCAAAATCATGTATTTTTTTCACTACGTAAGTAACAAATTTGAAAAAACGAAGTTGAAATCGAGATATGTACATAATATTACAGATACGAAAATATTTTTTATTTTTCTTATTAATGCTATTTTTATGATCAAAACAATAATAATAAGCAGCTTATAAGAGCCGATGCGCAGCTGGCGTAGTACAATAAATAGGATCAATTGCCAAATTTAACGAAATGATTAAATGATTCAATATTCAATGATGATTAAATGATTCAATAAGTATCGAACAGATATATTTCACACATTACAAAGTAACCAAAGTTTGATCGCTGTGTAACGTATGGAATATATCTGTTCAATACATTATTGAATTTAATGACGTTTCGTGAAATTGAATAATTGATCTTATTTATTTCACTACACCGGCTACACATTGGCTCTCAAAGACTACATATTATTATTTCGATCGTACATCTAGGGACCCGTTAGAATAGTCAATCTACTTATAATTGCGGTCAATAATAAGGTCGTATCTGAATCTATATATAGCGCAAGTTTCAACGAATTCCCGAAAAGTTCATTTTACACTGCAACTACCTTAAGACGTCGGACCGACCGGCCGGCCGCCTATTTACGGATACCGTAACGCGGGTCGACTCTGGCGACCAGCGGTGGAGCGATATTAAGAGCGAACCGCGACGTTAGCTTAGCTCTCGACGCCGAGACGCAACGGTGGGGCTTCCTCGCTGAAGCATGGACCGTTTCATCGCCGCCGCCGCCGGGAGAAGAATACTTCAGAGCGGCGAGGTCCTTTGAACTCGCGCTCGCACCGGCGGCCAAACGATCGTTTTCACGACACCCGGAAGTGTCACCGGGCGCGCGGCTGATCGCGCGAGTTCCGATGTTTTCATCGTAAAGTGTTTGCTTTGCGATATTATATCGTTCCGCGGTATCAACTCACGAACTTTACAACGCTTCTCGCTCCCGCAGCGCCGCTATTTGTCGGTTGCTGCGCGAAATTCCGACGAGGTTTCCGCGAGCGCAGCTCTATTTTCGAGCGTGCGGTCGCGTTACGCAATCGCCAGCCGAGCCGTTTCGATCGACGGTAAGACATCCGGTGAACGTAAAACGGGTGGAAGATAAATTTCCATCGTTATTATTCGATATAAGAGGGCAAAAGCGTCGAAACTGACATAAGTACGGAAAGTCGACATACCCATGCTTTTCGGCTATAAAGTATCGAACTCCGTCGAACAGTGCGCAACGTTGAACTTTGTTTACTACGTGCGGATTAGGCGGAGCTGAAGTGGCAGTTTCTGTTTGCAAGCGCGCGTGACCTCGGGAGGGACGCATTACTCGCGGAAGCGATCCTTCCTTTCGCCCGGCGACTATGTCGGGGAAAAAGGGAGACTCTCGTTCTTTGCGAGAAAACCGAAGGCGGCGGAGTACGGCGGGCGGAGAGCAGCAACGTGGGGAGGTGGACGACACGACGACGACTACGAGGGCGCATTCGGGGTGGAAGTGGAAGCGCTCGGTGCGCAGGCCGAGGGGCACGACATGAGGGTGGCGGCGGGGGAGAGTGGCGGCGTGAATAAAGACGAGGGGTGCGGGAGTGGCGGGGGGGGAGGGGGCAGGACGACGGCGGAGGTAGTGTACGAAGGACGACGGAGCTGCGAGATCCGCCGGCTGAGGGTAGTTATTATAATAAATTTGTCGGGGGTTTAAGAAGCGGAAACAATTCAGAACTGCGAGCGACTCTAAGGATGTGCTTATCGTTGCTTTTATTCAAATGGAAGTGGAAGGCGACGAGCTGCAACGGATGCGACCTGTATCTGCGTTCTTCTGTTTCTCTCTCTTTCCCTCTTTCTTCCCAACCCCTCACGGTATCTCCTCCTCCGTATTTGCACAGCGTTCCGTCTCCTTCGAGTTCCTCCGTCGGTGTCCTTCTGTTTTCTCCCGAAGTGACTAACGGAGGCGAGAACGCGTGAGTACGACTCGGCGAATGACGGGATCCTGGGCTCTCGTTTCGTTAACGTTCGTCTCGGCTCGCGCCTCGAGCGAACGCCGAATCGATCGTTCCGCCGGCGAACCGAACGTTCCCTTCAACTTTTTACGGAAATGCAATTTCTGCCATCGTGTCACATGCAATTCCGATATACGGTGCGCGCTTGGCATTTATTCGGTAATTTCTATATATAATTAAGTGAAAGAGTGTTGGGGTTAGAATTAATTTTCGAATAACAAGGTTCACGTAATCACACGTATAACAAGGTGACCGGTAAAAATTTAGTATTTTATAATTTTTTCAACCAGGCACTTTTTATTCTCACACAATAAGTTAGAAAATATCTAAAAGGAAATAAAATATATCGGAAAATATGTAAAATACATGAAATATAACGTTTTACGTGCGCGAAAGCATGTGTTTTGGAATGTGGATCCGGTTGGATCCGATCCAACCTTATTATTCAAGGATTAATTAAAGCACATTCAACACGGAAAAACCAAAAATTTTGTTTCCTTCAATCAAAACACATTTAGTTATTGTTAAAGCAACCAGACTTTTTTCCGTGAAGATGTTATACATTCTTGGGCAGATTCTTCGGCGAATCGGTTGCTTTTTCGCGAAAACTTGACGCTGCCTCCGATTCTCGCGCGCTGCAGTGGAAGCCTCCGAGAGGGCACAGCGAACAGACCGAGCTTTCGTATTTTCAGGCGTTTGAGGGCTCAATGTGTGGCGCGTTTCACGCCAAAGCAATCGAGATAGCCCGCAACAGCGGCAAGATAAAGAGATAAAGAAAACGAAAACGCCTCGTTCGAGAGAACCACGAAGGGGGTAAAAAGCTGGGTCCCGTGTAGACGCCAGCTCGATAAGCGAGAGACCGTAAGCGCGCTCTGACACGCGCACGGTGCAGATTCCATGCGTCTTTCCGAGCTCGCGTTAATGACCATGCTCGTGCGAGGATAAGAGGTAGTGAAACTTGGAGACGTTAAAGTTTAAAACGCGCTCACTGGCGGAAGAGAAGGACAAGAAGAAGCGAGCGCGAGAGAGAGAGAGAGAGAGAAAAGGAACGGACGAATCATCCTCGTGGACCACCCTGATCACGACCCTGTTTACGACATTCGTGACAGCGCGATCCCGATCATTACGGCGCGACGAAGGAGGACATCACTCGCTTCTCGAGGGGTTGGCTGGGAAATATAAAAACAACGCTTGCCATAACGGCGTGAAAACGACAGAGAGGGAATGAAAAAGGGATTGAAAGAGAAAAAGGGGGGGGGGGGGGAGAGAGTTCTCTCCAAGAACGAGGCGAATCATTCAGACGGAGATTTTGTCTCGT